TTTGTTGTAAACTTTTTCTTTAAACCGCTATTCTTAGCTATCACTATTCTTAGGTATCTAACCGCTTATCTATTGCCAATATAACCATTAAGGTTCATGCAAGAATTTTTATACACAAGGACTAAATATTTCACAGCTGATGAAGAAATGACGCTAGTGTTTATCACGACCTTGAAGGAAAATATAATTCCTTATAAAATTTCCGCTTAGCTCCTAAGCCTTAAGGTGTTCCCAAGCAGCAAAATGGCTATAGCCCCGCATAGCTTGTTATTGTCGTAAGTGCCTCCAACTTAAACTTGAAGTTCAAAGCTTCATTTTATTTTTAGATTTAAGCGCTATACCAGCGCCGCCTAAAGATGTAATAACAGAAGTTTTGGTGCCATAAAAGTAAAGAAGAGTAGAATTTTGATGAACTGTAAATCTTTGAATGGACCAAAGATTTTTAATGATGGGAAATGGACGTACTTTAACTTTGGTAGTGAGAAAAAGAAGAACAAGATACGCAAACTCAAATGCGAAAGACTTTAAAATTACTTTTATAGCCGATAAAGTTACGTGTGATTTAGGAAAAAATCAAGAATGATATAAAACTTTTCTAATGTGTCATAGTGAAGCATTTATTGCAATTTGAAAATCATGAACAACGTGCAAACAAAAACCACTTTTGATACTGAGACTTTTAAGCTGAAAATCAATATTGTTACATCCGCAAAAGGTCAAACAAGGGTTTAACAATAAAATCGAAAGCAATTACAGAAAGTAAATTTTTAAAAAGAATTCTCGTCTTTTTTTATCGAAAATTATAATGAAGCTGTGCCCTTAGAAGGGTAGAGTGTCCAATTAAGTTCAATTAATATAACAGGAGTTCAACAATCTGCTTTTTCAGTTTGATCTGACAATAAAGACCGGTATTTAGCCGTTAAAAATGTTCATCTTTGAGTTTGATTTCTAATTCTATGTAAATTGGTAATTTAATTTTGTGATGAGACTTCAGGTAAACAATACTCTAGAGAGATGATTAGGTGGGCGGTGCGTGGGTTAGTTAAGAAAGGATATAACCGTTGTACAATTAATGTCGTATCGACACCATTAGCTGCTTCAAGCTGCAATGTGAGTTTTTGTCAAACATCACATTTTTTTATAGCATAAGCCGGTAAACGAGCAGATGGATCACCTTATGGTATGCAATCGGCGTCGCCCATGGACACCTGGAACACCAGACCACACCTTGCTTCACGTCGGTTTTCTGTGAGGCCGTGGTATCCCTCCGTTCGACCCGGCCTATTCGTGCCGAAGCACGGCACTCCCACACTTAAAAAAAATGTCATAACGATATGCCGTCAATATATTTAAATAATTTGATATGCCGTCAATATATTTAAATAATTTGATGTCTAACGATTGTGGACATTAGAAAGAAAGTCTTCGAAAAGACTTCTCGAAAAATATCGACCAAGATAAAGAAATGATTGTAGACGGTCTCCTTGGAGTCTATTGTCTCAGAACAGCGTACTACATCGAAGCCTAATTAACGCAATATTCTGAGCGATATAAATCAAATGGAGTTGGCCCCTGCTCTCACATTATTTTCACTTGGCCCCCTCAGGGCCACGGTAATTTTTTCCTTCTCACCAGAGTGATAAATGGTTTGCGTGAAAAGGCAGAATTCTGTTTTGAACGGTGAATTATTATGATCGCTCGATAGGGATGCAAGCGATTTTCTCATGCTTAACGTGAGTGAGTCCACTTAGTGGCAGATAACATCTTACTGCGGATATTGATTGGTAGTTTGCCAGCGTAGTTGGCACTAGGATCGCTATAGATTTACTTCACTTTTTAATGACACTTAAAATATTATTTGCTTGAGAAATGATACGATTATCGTTTTCTCTCTACATCTTATTCATTGCCTCTACGTCAAGTCTAGTACTTGTGACTTTGTAATTATCTAGCAATATCTTGATAAACTGAACTTATCTTGCACAATTATCGCCGCGTACCTCTCAAATCTTCTATTAGACAAAATGGTGCTAAAATTTCCATCCATTTCAATGAATCTCAGAATCTGAGGATCTATTATTTAGAATTCCAACGTGAAGGCTTTTCAAAGTCCAAATTATAAACCCAACTATTCTGAAATTAGTTATTGATGTCAATATTTTTATGAGTTCAATATTATATGTCCTCTTCAAACAATGAGTATGAGTATAGCTCGTGTGACCCTCAGGCAATATAGGTTTTTGCTATATTTTAGGGTCAAAGCTTTCATCTTTATAGACACTAGTTTTATGTGTTTCATATTTTAGGTATAACGTTTTAGAATTTATAAAAATTGGGTTAGATACTTTTTTATAAAACCTATATGCTAATATATATCGTTAAAGCCTATTTGACGTGTTAGCGAATAATAAAAAATGTAATTATAAAACAATGAAAACATAATAAGTATTACTAACATTTTACATTTTTTATAAGAAGCAAATTTACAGCAACTCTTGTCTATTATTCCAGAATAAACGTGTAAGGTTCCGTTTATACAATTGCTAAAATAATTTCATCAATTCTGAATCGTCGTGTTGGACAGACTTCCCACTCAACCAATAACAAAATACCAATAAATACTTTACATACACAGAACTAAAAAAACATAAATCAAAACAAACAGCCGTGTTTTCGTTCTGAAAACATGCTAAATAAACAAGAACACCAGACATAAGTACTAGGGCAGTAAAATTTATAGGCTTGACTTGCGTGGCCAGGTCATAACTTAGGTTAGACCCACAAGGTCTAATAACTAAGATGGAAGCACTGTTCTACACTAAAGTACGAGTCCCTCAACGGGTCTTCAGTCTTCAAGACTCGTAAACAGTATCCTTGAAAATGTTACTGGTGAAAAAATAAACACTTAAATTTGCTTGGGTGGTGCTATTTATAGAATAAAAATGTGATACATAGCGAGGTGGAGATAAAAACGGGTATTATGGTGCTAGCCTCATTGTAATTGGACAAGCCTATAGGCCTTTTCAGGTGGTTGTAGCCAACCACAGAAATTAACTGAAGTTAAATTTTTTCATGGGATACGCCGCCTGGAAACGATCAGACGGATTACCTGATGGTAAGCCATCGGCGTCGCCCGTGGACACCTGGAACACGAGAGGGGTTACACGTGCGTTAAAGGCCGTTTAGGGTGTGGAGTTACATGTGTGTTGAGAGAGAAATGAAACGTGCGCTGTCTGAGTGCCAACTGGTGTACGTTTATTAAATCATTTCATATATAGGCGATAACAATGTACCTATGCATCCCCACAAGGGATTAGAAATTTGAGGATTGTTAAGGGTTCAGGGATGGGGGAGATTGGGGGAAGGGGGGTGTGTAATTAGACCTCCCGTAACTTCACTCACACAACGAAACACAACGCAAAGCATCGTGTCACGTCGGTTTTTTGTGAGGCCGTGGTATCACTCCGATCGAGTCGGCCCATTTGTGCTGAAGCACGGCTCTCACACACTAAAAATTGGATTCGATTTTGCACAGATTATAAAATTTATACAATAATATTTTTTAGTGTGAGAGTATTACATTGTACAGTGGCATTAAGTGTAGTAATGTGCACCTCTGTCTAGCCCTTCGGGGATAAAAGGCGTAATGTTATGTTATGTTTTAAATATTTTTTATTTAATAATAATACCTATATTTACGTTTTTGTTACTTTATAAAAAGGATGTATTTTTTCTGTATTTCCACACATATAGTAAGGCAATAAATTATAAACGAATTTCAGTCTACAATTAAGCCAATATTAAAATTAAATCCACCATACAATGTTAAAACGTTAAAATATTTAAGGAAGTATAACCTCGTTCATTTTTCAAGGAAAAAATAATTGAGCATCGTTGTAAAAGAGCCAATCCCATTATGTCCCGTCATTGTTTCAATCTGCGGCTAGAATTGGAGACGTTGAAATATCCTATTATGTCTTTATTACGACAAATTATTTGCAGTCAAATATATTGATGGGCGTACCACTGAGAAAGCTGATGCCTCAATAGCTTGTCGGCGATGGCGATGGAAATTTGATTTCGATATCATCTCACGAAGGAATTTTGTGATTTCTCCCGACTTTTTATTTTTATTGTTTGTTTTTGGCACAGACTGTAACGAGATTGGATTTTTGATCGATTATGATTTGGTGTCCAGGTGTTTTCTTTAAGGTGACATCGCCAACTATAAAAGTTTACAATACTCTATACTGAAAATCTAGATCCTAATTTATATTTATTTTTAATCTTGTTTTTTTCTTATCTCTTACGAGAGTTGTCCAACTGATTTATTAAATATTATAGAAGAAAAATATTATAATCATGGTAATTAATGGAAAACATCAATCCATGTATGCAAAATATTTAATCTGGTCAAGTTCGCATATTGATAATATTGAATCGTGCAGAATTTCATAAATTGATGTAACGAGTATCTGAAATCTCTACCTACATGATTGTAAGGAATTTTATAACATTTTTAAATTTTAAAGTGTACTTTAGCCCACTAGCGAAATAAAATGTAAAAAGTTTCATTTTATTATCATTTTATTAAATAAAATTGGTACAATCTATGTATTTCACATTATCAACAAAAGTCTTAAAATAATAAATATCAACATTTATCACAATGCAGGCCAAGAAACTAATTCCATGAATGCTACTCTTTTAACAGATTAGTTAGAAAAAGGCAAAAATGAAACAGTAGCTCCTGGCAACATTGAAAATCATTAGATTTAGAATCTAAATGCTCCAGACATTAAAGCAGTAGAAGAAATACTTAAACAATCTTATGATACAAATTGTATCTAACCATGATCCAATACACCTCTATCACCGTTCTGAATTCAAAACCTCTAGCAGTTTTTTTTTAAACTGCCTTTAATTAATAAATCCTGATAACAATTACATCGTACAGGATGACAATTATTAATAATGAACGTGTTTCCTACACCTACACTTTACTTAGTCTTATTAGTATCAACTTCAGTCTTAGATGTCTTGATATTCTGAATTACTTCAGGGATCTCCTCAAGTAGGACCTTGCTGTCAATAAGGTCAGGGTTTGTTGCCAAGATGGCTTTACCTTCGGGACTGTCGATAGTTGGAGCCTCACCGTGGTACGTATCTTCAGTGTACGCACGGTTCTGCCTCCTCATGGTACCGTGCAACTGGAAAATGAAGAACTTCATTAATTATTGGCCGCTATAAATATTAAAGTGGATTTGTAAATATAATCTATTATGTCTCTTTTTTATTTGACTTAAATGAAATCTAAAATAAGATCGTAAAAGTATTTGATTCATGACTATCAGTTTAAAAGAGCTAAATCGATTGTTAAACTTTTATGGAACAATGCCAAAAGTATACATTGCTCTTTGATTCACCAAAGACAAACTAATCAGACGTGTTATAAATTTTATAGATATTTAATATTCAACTTAGGTATCATAATTTATAAGCGATATGTAGTGATTATAAACAGTGAGTAATTTATAGCCAACAAAAATAGGATTTGATATGAATGATTTATTTCAAAACCAGTTTTCTATTGTGAAGTACAAAATGTACTGTGGTTATAACTATTGTTTCCAATTTAGATTTATCTTTGATAACAGTGTCAACTTAATTTCAGCTTGAATATAATCGTATTTTTTTCTAAATAATTTGTTTAAGCCTTACCCTATCCCACAAAGACATGTTGAACCCGAAGTTGCAATGGAAGAACTCGTGGTGCTGGTCGTGGAACTCAGCGTCAGGCTGCCACGGCTGCCACCACTGAGCCTTGAAGTTGATACCAGAGTGGTCGATGATGCCGTGGTAATACACGTATATAGCGACCGAGTAGAATGACACTGGAAAATAATATAGGAAGAAACATGAATAGACGGACTTTAAACGAATCTTAATAACTGTAAAATTAGATATTATTTCTAGAAATTATAATAAAGTTTACAATATTAAAATAGAAGAAATCATAAGCAACTTTTATAAAAAAAAAATATAACTGGTATAAGTTTCTATGTTCTAATTTGTTCACATTATTTGGTAGCAATCATCAACTTACGCCAGTGTACAGGGATGGCAAATAATGGTAGACAGCTGGTGAGCTGAACGTGCAGGATCTCGACGGGATGGATGGCAGTAACAGAGAAAGCAGTCGGCTGCTTGTACTTGTGGTGAAGCTTGTGGAAGTGCTTGTACAGCCATGGAGTATGGTACAAACGATGGAGAATGTACGTCGTGTAGTCCTGAAAATAAAAGTAAATGGTAAGAAAGAAACTGTTAAAAACAGAAGTAAAAACAGTTATAGATACTCTTTAATACATGTACTTACAGCATACAAGAAGATGACAGGGAACTGCAAGAAGAACCACAACCAGCCGTACTCATCGAATTGGAAGTAGACGGAAGAAGGGTTGCCGTTGTAGATGTAACAGGCAAGGAAAGCAGAGAAACTACCGACAATTAGGAGTGATATGGTGCCAACCATAATCTCGTGACGTTCAAGCTCAGGGGAAAGCCACTTGTCAGGTTGGATCTTCCATTCCTTGGCACGGTGTCTTCTATTCATGTAGAAGTACCACTGAAAACAAAATTATCATGATTAAGGTTACATTCTTCTGTTCTATAGAGAAATGAACGTGATCATTTGAAGGGAATACAGAAGCTTTGTTATAATACACTGCGTCAATTAATAACAATCATTGTGTAATTAAATAACTGTTGCCTACCTATTACAATACGTCATGATTGTTATCATTGCTAATGATAATAATTAATCTTGTAAAACGATTAACATTTTAAATATTCAAGTGTGGGAGTCTATCAAAACAAAGATCGCGAAACTCGCGTGTCTGAACTAGCTCCGTCGTATCAGCGGCACTATGATAATAATTTTCAAGTACGTATGTGATGAAAGTCAGGTCTGCAAATTCTTGGACAAAGTTCTGATTAAACGGAAAGATAACAAACGGATTGTTCCTTATCTCAGTGACGTAAATATTAATAATCCAAAATTAATTATTACTAAGGAAGGATTAGAGATTTTATTAGATTATTGCTTTTGAAAGGGAGAATCTTGAACAGATATTTGGACGGGCAATTAATATTACCATCATGATTAATGGGGGAATTGAAACGAATAGATTTTGTAACAGATTTCTATAATTAAAGTTGTTGGAGAAATGATTAGCAGATCTCAGGCTAATATTTATAGCAAAATATGAGTGTAGAACATATGAAACCCATGACTTTATTGTATTTTTTTGAAGCTATTACGAACTTGATGTTCTTTTAAATAAACTAAATACACATTCATGACACGGAAATATACATCCTAGCTCAAAAGTTAAATCTAGGTTTTACGCTTCAGTATCGCTCTAGAATGGAGTTCGAGTCGGAAGTTTTCTAGACAAAACCAATTTGTGGTATTCCTGAATTTGTTTTCAAGTTTCAAAGTGTTGAGAGTAAGCGTGTGGAAAATGTTAACGTCTGTGATTTTTCCGAAGCAGATTTTATGCGATTTGGTTTTTCTAAGTTCAAATATTTTTATACTTCATATGTTTTAGTTTAAAAAGTTTCACGCTTAGACAATAACGATTTGCTGAGGATAACAGTTTCATATTTTTGTAATTTAATAATACTGACTACGAGAAATGACTGTTATATGGATTTGTAATATTATTGGTAAACAATAATGGTACAATGATAATAGATATATTTGTTTTACGATATTAAATAGATACAATTTGGAGTTTTTGTTTTTATACGAGAGCGATTTGAGAAATTAAAAGTTTTCGCATAAAATAACTTTTTTTTTCGAAACTTGCAAGATACTTACATGCAAGAAACCTCCAATGAAGAAGTAAGTAGTCAACGACACGATGTGGGCTCCAAAGAAGAACATGGTGAAGTTCTCCATCTTCAGGTTTCTCGAGGAGAACAACTCTAGGATGGCTGTAGCATTTGTATTGTTCTGTGTCTGACCAGTCAGCTGCTTCAGCGCCGTCACCAGGATCACCACCCATTCTCCTGGAAATCAAATTAGGAATATATTAGTTACAACATACTTATAAGTATCAAATCCTGTGTATCGATAAAATGTCGATTGTCGAAATTAGGGGTAGAGTTAGAATTTAGTGTAGATATGTGGAAATTAATTCAAAAATCAAGTTTTGTTGCCTTGTAAAGTAAATTTTAGCTTCTGTACTACACAAAGAAAATGTATCTGACCAAGTTAACTGTCGTATTTTAACAAAATAAATATAAATGTGGTGCCATCTAGTAGAGGCTTTGGGAACTATATTGTGTTTAATCTATGCAGAAAATAAAAATTTGACAGTTCGTTACCATCTACGGTCGTTTCATTTCTACAGGTTATGGGCCTCACGTTTTTAAAACAAAAGAAACATTGTGTTACTCAGTGAAATGTCCGGAAGTATAATTACAAGCATCACAAAGTTAAAAGGACGCGATAATTATGAAGAATGGGCGTTTGCGGTTCAAAACTATTTGATTTTAGAAGGCATGGAGAAGTGCATCGTTACAAATGGCGAGGCAAATGATGCAAAAGCACGTGCAAAAATCATCCTTACTATAGAACCAGGACTTTTTGTGCATATTAAAAGTGAAGAAACCGCTTTGGGTCTGTGGAAAAAGCTGCAAAGAATGTTTGACGATACTGGATTCACAAGAAGAATAGGATTACTGCGGAACTTGATATCAATCCGGCGTGAAAATTGTGATTCGATGGCTCATTACGTGACATCAATAGTGGAAACAAGTCAGCGATTAAATAATACGGGCTTCAAAATAAGTGAAGAGTGGGTTGGATCGCTACTTTTGGCGGGATTGCCTGAGAAATTCGCTCCGATGATCATGGCGATCGAGCATTCGGGCATAGACATAACGACCGACGCAATCAAATCGAAGCTCATAGACATGGAGGACTCAAGTGAAGTTAGTGCGAACAGTCAGAGTGCATTTATGTCTAAAAAATGGCAACCCCAAAAGAGTGAACGAAATACGGCAAATGTCAATACGACCGAAACGTTAAAATCGAATGTAAGATGTTACAAATGTAAGAAGCAAGGGCATTACAAGAATCAGTGTAATAAAATAGAAAAGAAAAAAACAACTAATGCATTTAATGCTACTTTTCTAAGTGGTAAATTCAGTACTACAGACTGGTACATTGATTCCGGTGCCAGCAGGCATATGACGACTAAAAAAGATTGGCTGAAGAATCTGTCAAAACAAACACTTGTAGACGAGATAGTTATTGCTGATAAGTCGACAATTTCTGTGGATTGTTGTGGTGAAACCCAAATAATAACAACAGTGAAAGGTAAACAATATGACATATCAGTCACAGAAGTATTGTACGTGCCTAGTCTTGCTACAAACTTGTTATCAGTTAGCCAGCTGATTAATAAGGGAAATCGAGTTAACTTCACTGAGAACCACTGTATGATTTATAACGACAGGAACGAACTGATTGCAACTGCAGATTTGGTGGACGGTGTTTACAAATTAAATGTGAAACAAGTTAATTGTCTGTTTACACCAGTGTCGGGGCATGTGTGGCATCGCCGTTTTGCGCACCTGAATAGCGCCGATCTAGACAAAATGAGAGACGGTGCAGTTATTGGCATGACATATACAGACAAGTCCCAGGTGAACCATATGAGCTGCGTTGTGTGCTGCGAAGGCAAGCAGGCACGGTTACCCTTCTCACATGTTGGTAACAGAAGTGAAGAATTGCTTCACACGGTGCATGCAGACATTTGTGGCCCCATGGAAACCAAGTCCATTGGAGGATCAAAATATTTTTTGCTATTCGTGGATGACAAAAGCAGAATGGTATTTGTCTATTTTCTTAAGACTAAGGATGAAGCATTAGACAAATTCAAAGCATTTAAGAGTATGGCTGAGAATCAGACAGAGAAGAGAATCAAAATTCTAAGGACAGATAATGGGTTAGAATTTTGTAATAAGCAGTTTGATAGATATCTACAAGAAGCAGGAATATTACACCAAAAAACTAACCCATATACTCCACAGCAGAACGGAATGTGCGAGAGATTCAACCGCACAGTGGTTGAGAAGGCAAAATGCCTGTTGTTTGATGCAGGATTAACCAAAAGATTTTGGGCAGAAGCGGTAAACACAGCAGCCTACTTGAAAAATCGATCAATAGCATCAGGATTAAACAACCAAACACCAATTGAAGTGTGGACAGGTGAGAAACCAGACGTTAGCCATTTACGCATATTTGGCAGTAGAGTAATGGTACATATACCAAAGGAGAGAAGGCTCAAGTGGGATAAAAAAGCCAAACAATGCATTTTGATTGGTTATCCAAATGACGTAAAAGGTTACAGAGTGTACAATCCCAACAATAACACAATAACTACCAGTCGAGATATTGTCGTGATTGAGGAAGGGAGTTCTGTAACCGAGATACCAGTGGACTTGACCGAACCAAACCACGAGTTTGCAGTAAAAACTGAGATACCTGAAGAGATTCAGCAAACAGTGGGAGAGGCAAATGTAGACATTTCAGAGACGAACCTCAAACTGAAATTCAGGCCAGGTGCAGTAAAGGGTGCAGTAAGCGAGAATTCAAGCAGCACCAGCTCAGATAAAGAAACAGACGAAGAATTTCTTGATGTGGAAGAAACTACAGCATCTGCAGCAGTGTCAGAGCAGCAGTTAGTTACTCCAGGTCCATCAACAGTTGTGGAAAATGAGGTTAGGAAGTGTCGTGTTCGTAAACAACCTGAACGGTATGGTTTTGCCAGTGCCAGTGCGTGTAATGTGGACTGTAATGAAATATCACTTCTGGAGGCTCTAAGCGGGCCAGAGAGTGAACAATGGACATTAGCAATGAACGATGAATTAAAATCTTTCGAAGAAAATAATGCCTGGGAATTAGTGGACTTACCTGTGAACAGTACAGTTGTGCCTTGTAAATGGGTGTTCAAACGTAAGTTAGACATTGACAATAATGTAACATATCGTGCTAGGTTAGTTGCAAAAGGATTTGTACAAAAACCAGGTATAGATTTTAATGAAACTTTTTCCCCTGTGTTGAGACATTCATCTTTAAGATTACTTTTTGCATTAGCAGCTCAGATGAAACTTGATATATGCCACCTTGATGTTAAAACTGCTTTTTTAAATGGATTCTTGAAAGAAACAGTTTATATGAAAATGCCAGTAGGTTTTGAATGTAAGCAAAATAACAACAAGGTGCTTAAGCTTAAGAAGGCTATTTATGGTTTGAAGCAATCAAGTAGAGCCTGGTATCAGAGAGTAGATAGTTTTTTAGAGACCATAGGATTCAAACGGTCTCAACTCGAACCTTGTCTTTATAGCAAAATTAATGTGTCAGACAAAATATTCATTGCACTGTTTGTTGATGATTTCTTCATTTTTTCTAATAATTTGTTAGAAACTGAAAAAATTAAGAGTAGTTTATCATCTGTCTTTAAAATTAAAGATTTGGGTAGTGTTAAGCATTGCTTAGGTATGAGAGTTGATGTTGATAAAGTAAGTGGTACAGTAACTTTGGATCAACAACAATACATTGAAAAACTATCACAAAAATTTAATATTCAAAGTTGTAAGGCAGTTTACACACCAATAGAATCTAAGTTAAATTTAAGTAAAAGTGAATATTGTAATACTCAATTACCTTACCAACAGTTAATAGGTTCTATGATGTATTTAGCAGTACTTACTAGACCAGACATTGTTTTTTCTGTTAATTATTTAAGTCAATTTAATAATTGTTACAGTGATGAGCATTGGGCTTGTGCCAAAAGGGTCTTAAAATATTTGAAAACAACTAAAGAATATTGTCTGAAATATAGTGCCAATGGAAATTCAGAATTGCAAGCATATGTTGATGCTGACTGGGCAAGTAATGTATTGGATAGGCGTTCATATACAGGGTTTTTCTTTTCTCTTTCTGGTGGTGCTGTTTCATGGGCAACTAGGAAACAAATCACTATAGCTCTGTCTAGCACCGAGGCTGAGTACATGGGAATATCAGATTGTTGTAAAGAGGCCATATACTTACGGAACTTGCAATATGAGATAACTAACAAATTGTATATAGTAACTGTATTCAATGATAATCAGTCTGCACAGAAGTTGGCAAATGATAATTGTTTGCATAAAAGATCAAAACACATTGATATCAGATTTCACTTTTTTAGAGAACATTTAAATAATAATATTATTAGATTGAGTTATTTACCAACTTCAGAAATGCCTGCTGATTTATTTACCAAAGGTTTAAATGCGGTAAAACATTATAAATTTTTAGAGATGTTAGGTTTAGTCAAATAAAACACTAGATAGGTATTTAGTTTTATTTTGTTAAGTGGGAGTGTCGTATTCTAACAAAATAAATATAAATGTGGTGCCATCTAGTAGAGGCTTTGGGAACTATATTGTGTTTAATCTATGCAGAAAATAAAAATTTGACAGTTCGTTACCATCTACGGTCGTTTCATTTCTACATTAACAAATACATTTTACAATTTTCTTCTAAATAACACTTTAAAACTCTCAATCTGTCATTAAAATTTTAATGGATATACTTTCAAAGCCTGTTTGCACTCGTACTTTACACAATATCTCCAATTATGTCAATATAATACATAAATCTTTGTATTAAAGTACATTTTCTGTATAAAGCGAGTTATCGGCGTTCATTAATTTGCACTTTATTTACGGTGTCGATAACTCGACGAGCTTTTGGAATAATTAACTAGTAAAATCGAAACAACTCAAGCCCTATACATATTCAGGAGCAATTGTAAACTTTGTTTTAATTTGAACAGATAACGAACCTTTGCTCACAGTCCCCAAACAAAGTATCAAAGCATTCCTTACAACGAGATTATGCTAATTACAATTTACTTTAACATATCAGTAGATTAATACATTGTTGCTCGATATCTTGCGATAAAAATCATTAATATGAGGTAATTTACCTTGTTTAAAAAGAAAACATTGTTGGAGCAATAATCCTCTTATTCGAAATACTGAGATTATGTAAAATTACTGGTAGATCGAGCGGTCGATAGGCGACTACTAAACGTAAGTACCTAAGTTCAGTACTTTGGGTACATATTAGATACATAGAACACTACCTTAGTAACTAATTTTTCATTTAGTTAGGAATTTAGAAAATAATTCAGTCCCCATTTCGATTGCTTGTATTAATTAGCACTATGGCCTAATATGGTAACTTAATTCATGATTCGAACTATAAAAACAACTAGTTATCAGTTCCCCACTTCTTCAGGGAACATCAGACTAGACGCGATCATTTCAAAATTATATTAATATGAAAGCTTGATCGACATACATCGATTTTAGGATATTTTTTATACGAAGCCTATATAATTTTATGTTATGCGCATCAGAAATCATTTTGTAGTTCCAACCTAATACCATTGTCAGAGATAACTTATCGTATTGATCAATTAGCTGTATTGTCATGATTAGTGCATACATTGTTAGTCCTAGATTATTTCAGTTGTCAAGAGGATATTCATGAAAAACGTGATTTTGTTTTTGAAGACCAAATAAGTTAAACATGAATGATTGACGGAACAAGACTAACTAGTTTTGTTAGACGATTGTTCATTCCATTACTACTACCAGTAGAAATTAGGGTGCAAGAGCCTAATTATCAAATATATGGTAAAATTGACTGCCTCACTGGCCGACTGGTGGCAAGGGGTCTCGGGTTAGATTCCCATCGGGTAGCACGGAATCTGGAAACGTGCCCGGTATATGGCAATAGGCTCACCCCCTATTACAAGGGACTCATATCATAAATAGTGACAAGTAGGCGTTACATTGCACAGTGGCATTAATTGCCGCAATGTGCACCTCCGCTTATCTCTTCGGGGACAAAAGACATGATGTTTTGTGGTAAATTAGCTCTTACTTATTTCTGCTAAATTATCGGTCTCTCTCTGTATTCTTAGTATTAGGCGAGAGAGAGTGTGAGACTCTTACTGACAAGACCCCAACCCGATCCTAATCCCGTCCAGGGTAACCCGTTAGGTTATTCGTAACTCCGAAACATCATACAACCACAAGTATTAATGTCATTAGGATGTTCACGTTCTTATTTTATCAATTCTTTTTTTTTACGGCATAAGCCGGTAAACGAGCTGACGGATCACCTGATGGTAAGCAATCGGCGTCGCCCATGGACACCTGGAACACCAGAGGCGTTACAAGTGCGTTACCTGCCTTTTGGGGATTAGGAGTTTGAGAATCGTTGGAGATTCAAAGATTGGGCAAGGGGAGAATAATTAGGCCGGTAACCTCACTCACACGACGAAACACAACGCAAGCGTTGCTTCACGTTGTCTTTCTGTGAGGCCGTGGTCACTCCGGTCGAGTCAGCTCATTCATGCCGAAGCATGGCTCTCCCACACTTGGAAGTTCCCTAGATAGTGACTCACGATCAATCCTTGCGTTGATTCATAGTTCCTTATCACATTATCCAACTTCTGTTGTTACTCTTGTCTTATGTGTAACTATGGGAACTATCTAATCTAGATTCAGTTCACTGATGATATAATACTTATAATATCTTTACATTTATTATATATTTTTATCATAAATGTTACGTAGGATTGATTCGGGGAACTAGTTTAATGTCAGTGAGTCACTAGTCACGACGCTTGAAAAGACTGATGTGTGTTGAGGAAGCGAAAGAGGTATGTAAGAATCGTAGCAATTGGCATTTCATAGTCTTTGCATATCTCCATGGGAGACAGGCGTGAGGTTATGTATGTATCAGTGACTATACAATACTAGGTATGTTGCTATAGTGGTTCTTGAAGAAGTATACAGATATGTATAATAGAGTTGTATATTAGTAGTATAGAACAATTACTTTATTATGTTTTGCTATAGGTCTTATTCATGCGGATAGTTTAACTTATATCGTGTACCTGCTAGTATCATGGTCAGTATAAGAGCATAACTATTATTTTATGTTGATATACATATAGCATTTATTTGACATGTAAACATAATTATCTACATCGTGTTCATTTCACTTCTTAACCTAGAATAACGTATATGGCCTATAACGTCCTCATCTTTATTAAGTTACCGTACTAGAGCTACATCAGCTGTTTAACACGCGTTACTATTTTGTTTTGCTGCCAAAGTTTATTGCTAAGGTCGACGATAAATGTTAATCGAATCGTTATCGATACGATGACCAATTTACTTAAAATATAAAAACAAAGCGACATACCTCTCAGCGTGGCCCCGAACGTGAATATAGCGAGCGTCGCTATGAATGTCGAGATGAATTCTGGCAGTCTTTCGAAGAAGTTCTCCAGATTTTCACCATACTTCTCAATCCATTTAACTCCATCTGTTAAAGGCTCCCAGTACTTCTGTTTCTTTTCTTCTTCTACTTCTTTCTTCTTCTCTCCCTTGCTGCCGTTAACCATCCTCTGCTTCACTTCAGCTCCTGTCATCCTGTAATCAATTTCATTTCTTTGTTCAGTTGTTTTAATGTAATCTTTGATTATTGGCTATTAATTATAGGTGTTCGTGATTCGCACTAAAGGATTACAATGTTACGTCATTGATAAAGATAGCTGTTTCAAATTATTACATTTGAATATGTAAGTAAGTAGGTACTTATAAGTTATATGATTTGAATATCGGTATTAAATTGGTGTTGGACTAAAATAAATATCTGGTTGCTATTTGAATCGATTGTATGACTAGATGCATTCATTATTTATTCAAAAAACAACATTATGATTTTTCAATTTATCAATCTATTTTGGTTAAAAAAATCTAGATATATTGAAATTAAACTTGGTAACGCAATTAATGCCATAGGTATATTGAAACGAAACAAATCGCCTTCTATTAAATTGTAGTTCTATATTTATGCCTGTATGTAAATGAACAATTAAACCGTCTCAGCTGGAGACCACACAAAAGAGAATAGCCTTACAACAGTAGAAGTATTTATTAGAGAGATTCAGAACTTCTTAATATTACTTAGAATTGTTTAACGAAGTCAAGGAACAGAGTCGTTTGATGTGGTAACAGTGCGACTGAATACTTGATGTTGAGCCAAACGAACTATTGTTGCTACATTTAGTAGTACCTAGACAATATCTCTATTGAATTTCAGACTTTAATCATCTATCTAATGGAAGCTCCAAAGTCAATTGCCTAGATTTCTGTGTATTTAGAAATTTAATAAATTACATTGTTACAAAATGACACACAAAAAATTTGTTAATTAATTAATTTAAATTGGTTTCAGATCTATACAGAATAATTTAAAATTATTTTATATATGCATGAAATATTTCAGTGAATTAATTCACTGAAATTTAGTAGGCACAAATATGAGAATGAATTTTTAATGACCATGGTTGATTCCGAAAAAGAAAGAAATTAATAAAATGGTATATGAAAGGCTGTACATAACAATGGTTCTATAAACAATAACTTACCTGCTTTCTTTATAAAATTCAGCACAACATGAAACACGTCTTTTATAGACTAATTATCACCACCAAATGAATTCAAACATTCGCACTTTTTGCGAACCATGGACAGATAAATATACGAACGAAACTTTAGGTACAACGTGAATATAATTATATTATTAATACACAGATTACAAATTTATCAGATTATTGTTTTATACTGATTACAATATTAAAGATTTTTCGCTTCTATTACTTTTATCTTGCTACTGCTGGACAACTAAAGGTCGTATTATTAATTACCGAGAATGTACAATTTTTATTTGAAGAAAGTCGTACAAACTTTTTGGCGTGAACAAAATGTACTGAAATAGATACAAATTCATCGATGAAGCTAATTCTTGGGTAATTTCAAGCATCATATACTCTACATCTTATATGTACCTTATTATTCTTTTATTTTATAAATGGTCCATGATTAAAAAAACAAATAGATCTAAATACACACACATGTGTATAAAATATAGACACGTAAATAAAATAATATTATGCATTAATTCACAAAAATGCAGGTATAACAACTATAACTTATAAACTTAATAGTTAATTGACCCATGCAACTACAAAACAGATCACAAAGTTGCCGACAAGTCGCCGGCAGCCAAGTACAAGTGACGAGAAAATCTGTAACTATCGACATGCCATTTACTGTTCATAGAAAGCAGCAACGCAACCACAGTCACCTCCAATAAATTTTTGCTCGTCTATACAGGGTGAGGGTACTTGTAACTCAACGTATTCCTCTCGGGAGGTGATAATGTCCTGAGGTCTCTGGTCCGAAAGTGGCTAGTTTCTGAGATATTCAACATTTTCGGTTTTGGTGAAAAAATTCCGATCGAACTACAAAAACATTAATAAATAAAAAACTACTGGTTTAATTTAAGTTATTTTAGTTTTAATTTGTTGTGAATACATAAATAAACATTTATTAATACTAATACTGGCAGAAATATCATTCGTTTTTAACCGACTTCAAAAAAAGGAGGATGCTCTCAATTCGTATATTTGCTATTTTTATAAACATAAAAACTCTCCGTTATTTATGAACCGATTTTGATTGAATTTTTTTTGTTGGAAAGGATACCAGGTAACCAATGGGAATTTCAAAAAAATATAGGGGGAGACTAGTGCATTTGTTAACCACTACAATTTGATAAAAGTCTGGAGTCGATCTGATGATGGAGCCGAGAGCCAGTCGAGGAAACTCCTCAACGGTAAACAGTAGCTACCTTGTGTTTGGGTTTGATTAATTTGTATTGATGAGGACTTCACACCTAGGTGGAGTGTAATTGTCAATAAGGGTCTGATGATGAAGTATTACGACAGTTCAGGGAACTCCTTAACGGTTAACAGTAGCTACCTTGTGTTTGGGTTTGATAATTTGTATTGATGAGAACTTTATACCTAGATGGGGGGGTGATGGTCATTAAAGGTCCAATGATGAAGTAGTATGATAGCTAAGGGAATTTCTCAATAGATAAGAGTAGGGACCCGGTATTTGAGCTTGAATAATTTGTATTGATAAAAACTTTGCATCCATGTGAGTTGTGTATAATAGTTGTGTATAATATAATATATCAAAGTACTAAACCAAAAGTATAAAATTAAATTATAAAACTGCGCTTACAAAAAACCGACTTCAAAAACTAAAGACCGACGAAAAGTAAAAACTAAAAATGAAAAAAGTAACTATTATTGGTCATACGTACTTATAGCTTACACACCCACTGATAGGTTAGGTTAGGCACGCACACGTTTTCTTGTCTTTGTGACGGTCACTCTTGAACTGAATGAGCGTCTTATTTCCTCAGCCGCGAGGAATACGTTGAGTTACAAGTCACCCTGTATATTTTATTTGAGTTTATTTTTACCAACAGAACAAGATATATAAAAAAACTACTTTAAGACGAGGCTATACTGCAAACCGGTTATAAAAAAAAAACACAAATAGCAATACTGATTGCAGAACTTGGTGTAGTCAACCAAAAGATTAAGAAATCTTTTTAAAACTAAATCATTGTTGCACTCGTTTTGAAGGTTCACGCAATATGATCATTGGGACTTCTGGATCACATTACAATTAGATATCATCAACAGCCTTTGATATTCCTCAGCATAAATATGTGCTTGCTCTACATAATTTCCACGCCTGCCAGGTAAATTGGAGATGGAGTTGAAAAGGTTAAGGTTTAAAGACAGCATTATTAAAGAGTAAGGCAGTATATTTTACTGTTTTAGAAAAAGGTTTACTTTTTTAAAGTAATGTTGCCCCACACTGGGGTCTCCTCCTGTGTCGTGGGTGCATTTACAAAAATACAAGTTCACATACACATGACACCCAGACTCGAAATAAATATTTGTGGATCACACAAAGAATTGTTCCATGCGGGAATCGAACCTGCTACACGTTGTGTGGCAGCCAATTCCTCAGCCACCGCTACCCCAACCGTGGAGTCAAATTTATCAAAAATTGTTACTACAAAATAACGACTTCATTAATTCTATGTATATTTACTGAGGAAAATGATCCGTACGAAACCGGGGCTGTTCGTTAGTTATCTATATTAAAGATTTGTTTGTTTGTATTGATATTATTATTACAGATAAATACATAACACTTTGGATCATTGATCAGCGATTTACCGCTATCAATGAACGAATGAAATGCAAAATCATCGTCAGTTGCAGGTGGTACAAGTAGGATGTCATGTCCGCATCGTAAGATGATGTAGCAATTCATTTATCATTTTTCTTTAGCTTTGAACCTTGGTATTTTTAATTCATATGTATATCTCTATTATTTCTATAGTACCTTGGTTTACACTCGCTTTATATTATATTTTTATTTTTTGTAGTTTTTAGTTATGTTATGTGTTTTGCGCAAGAATAAAATTGGTTTTCTTTCTTTCTTAATATGCTTTTATACTGACATAATATTTCAATAGTACCTCTATAACTATTTTATTGTATTAGTAATTTTTTAAATTTTATAATTTATAATAGTATTAAATGCTTTTTCTTTGCCTTTTATCCCAATGTCTTTCCAATGGTTTTTATAAATAATGTATTGGATTTTTCTTTAGTTTCATTCATATTTTATTTTTTAAAACTTGCTTTTTCTTAAATAAGTGTGTAAATGAAATAGGTCACAATTATTTTTTTAATATAAACAGAACAATATACCATAACGATTATTCCTATTCAAATCATCTTAGAAATAGGTATCTAAATTGAAGTGAGACCCAGTTTCCTCATCTCATTAGATACACTAAATGAAATAAATCAAGAAAAAAAATTAAGAACATTCTAGCTTACTAAATGTTTCCGGCTTTCCTCGCATAATTTCATGGAACAATACCGTCGATAATAGCGTTGTGCATAAAAGTCTTATCGGTTAGTAAACAAGTGATTTAGTTCCTACTTCTAAATCGTTTGCATGAACATACTCGTACTTGGGAACGATAAATCGATTATGGTAAAACATAACTCATTTCCAAGATGCCCAACTAATGTAGGTGAATGAAATACATCAGGTATTTTTATATTATGATAAACGTGATCTCTAAAATGAAAAACTAAATAGGATTTGTCCATTTTAAAGGTGAACGGTTTAAGAGATTATAGAATACATAGAATTGAATATCTACCTACTAATGTTATAAATGCGATACGTTGTATGTCTGTTTGTTTGATACTTCTTCACGTCAAAATGGATGAAGGGATTGAGATGAGATTTTGAGCAGGGGTAGACTATGGTTTAAAAATACACATAGGCTACTTGCTACCCCTGGGATTGCGAGCAAAGCCACTGGCAGAAGCTAGACGTTAAACATACTTTTTTTTTAAATGGGGGAAATCATCGAATGACTGCTCCCGCCTGAGTGAGGCGGTATGGAGTGTCAGACTCTTACTGACTAAAAACCACCCCGTTCCTTCTCTTGCACGTCGAGCCGGAGCCCCGG